GGAAATAGAGGAATATTCTGACCCTAATCATATTCAGATGTTTGGATTCTGTTTACTTGGACTTTTCTAGACACTTGGTGCATAGAGGCTGAGCAGCCAATGAATAAAGAAAAGAAAAAAGGAAAAGAATTAGAGAAGAGAAGAAAAATAAAATGAAAAAGGAGAAACAAAAAAGATAATAAAAAAACTTTGGATTTTAATTTTAGAAAGCAAAAAATAAAAGAATTATTTCACAGCTCAAGTTCAGTATCTATCTCAGGATGGGCTTGAGGGTGGGCCTTTCCTAAATGAAATGTGGAAAGGCACCAATTAGCACAGTAATAGAAGGGCTTGAGAGCCCAGAGAATACCTTAAAAAAATTGAAAAAAAAAAAAAAGGCACAGGGAGACACAGAGAGACAGAGAGAGACAGAGAGAAATGGAGAGAAGGAGAAGGAGTAGCCTTTCCTACTAGAAAGGAATCTGGAGGGGGAAGTCTCAGCAGAAAATCATTTACGGTCAAGGAAAGCAATATTTCACAGTTCAAGTTTGGTATCTATCTCAGGATGGGCCTGGGAGTCCCTTTCCACTAAAAATGAATCTGGAAGGGGAAGTCTCAGCAGAAAATCTTCGTTTTTGGTCAAGGAAAGCCTTACCTCGATTTTCATTGGAAGAACTACTTCCTGTTGTGTCTAAAGAGGAATCTTTAGATCTTCCAGACTTGAAGATGAAAAACCTGTACATGTCTGAAAGCTTTAATTGATTTTATTGCTGTGTTTCCAACACATTTCCACATGACATTTAATTTGCAAAATAAGTCCATAATGCTGGAATTATTAACCTAATTTTGCCTATGAGAAAACAGAGACTCAAAGTCACTCAAGGTCAAAGCCATGATGTCCTTCATGCTGTAACTAAATGGATAACATTTTTAAACAAGGGCACATGTGTGTTCTAGAGAAAGAGAGAGATAGAGAAACAGAGAGAGAGAGAGAGAGAGGAAGAAAGCACCCTCCAATGGGAGTTGATCACACCAAAATTCCTTTTCCTACAGTCCTGTCAGGATTTGGGGTATGTTGGACATGTGCCAGGGAATGTTTTTCAAGCCACGAGGGCTAAGATTGAAATCATTGTTGGCTGTGTGTGATGCAACTCCTTTAAACACTAGGCTACGAGGCTGGCCCTAGAATTATTCTTTCATAGTAAGTTCAGTATTATTTTATTTTAAAGTTTTCAACTGACTTGTAAGAAAGATCATGTTATTGCTTTATGTTGATTTAATAAATTATAACAAATTTACCTACACAAATAATAAAAGACTTTTAGATTGCCAAATTTTGCTCACATCAAGTCTATTTAAATCTTACTATAGCTGAGTAAAATTATAGTTCTAATAATAATGTGGACATCAGCCGAGAGGTATTACACTTTATACTGGAGAACCTCACCACTGGACACTGAATGAAATTCATCTCATCTTTCAATGAATCCATTTCTAGTAAAATACATGCATTACTTTTTTCACTCCTATCAAGGTCCCTTCTGAAAGAAACTGGTTAACGTGAAAATAATTTTTAATCTTGAGTCTTCCTATATTTAGCAATAAAAAAACCTAATTGTAGAAATAACTATATGGAAATATTTAAGTGCTTTATGAAAACTTAATTTTCATTTAGTATAGGGAAATGAAACTACTTCGGATTGTTTGTATTCTGTATTAAACAATTGACCCTAACTATTAAATGATGGTTTTGGATATTAAAAAAATAAGTTACAATTTCCCACAATATTAAAGTTTATTATTTTGAAAGCAAGGACAACTTTCTAGTAGAAAGATTAATAATAAACGATCCATTAAAATTATCATCAGAAAAATCTTATGCTTTCAAATGTATCTATTCAAACCTGTCACTCTATGAGCTGCAAGGCTTTGTTTTGCTTGATCAAGAAATGAATGTGACTTTATGATCTGTATTCAACCATGAACAGCTGCTCATTAATAAAAAGTCATTAAAGTCCAAGTCGGAACAGCAGGTCTAAAATTGTGCTTGAGGGGAGGAAAGAAAAAAAAACCTTCAATGAAAAGCAAGAGAACTCAGTTGAGGGAGATCAGGAAGCACAAGGCTGTGTTTGCAAAGTCTGCTCCTATCTCCTGGGCCAGGTCAATTGACAATCCAGGACTTATCCCCAGCTGGAGAACTCAGAACAACACAGCCTATACAGGCTTTGACAGGGGAGAGTCAGTCAGTCATGAATTGGAAGCTGATTAACATGAAAATTAAGCTAGTGTCTGAGCAGAGGCTGATCAGAAGCTTTAAAGTAGGCAGAATGATTTGGACATAAAGCAGGCAAAATGAAGTATATATCCCATGGAGTAAGGTGACCCAGAAAGAAATCTTCCATATACCAAGCTATATCCCTTAAAGCCCTCCCATCTGACATTTGGTGTTCCCTGGTCACTGACCCATACAAGTTTTGAGCAGAAGAAAGGACTTAACATTACTCATTCCTATGAGGTGGACCTCAGGCAAAATCCCAAATTATTAACATCTATGATTCCCAGTCATGGGGCTATTGGTCAAATAGTAAAGCTGACTTTGATGGCATTTGTGTGTGTGTGTACTTAGTTTTGCTATAGGTCCCATGTGCTCATCAGGAAGAGACAGAGGGAAAGTGAGAAATCACCCCTTCTTAACGAGAGACAGAGGGAAAGTGAGAAATCCCCCCTTCTTAACTATGGCTACATCACAATCCATTCTCTGCCATTCTCCTCTCAGGATCTTGGGCACACATACACATGCACCCGACAAGTTTTTCAAGCCACCAGATCCACAACTTGAGCTGCTCAGTCGGCCACGTGGGATCCAGCACTTTAACCTCCATGCCACCTGCTGGCCCTAGCTATTCTTTTACAGACTATTCCTAAAGTAAACTTTAAGTTTGTAATCTTCAGCAAGCTTTGGTGTTTTCTGTTTATTAAAATGTAGAAAAACAAGTATTGAGCAACTTGTCTATGGAAAACTACAGACCTTTTTATTATTCATTTGGAAATAGCAAACTTAGTAAAGAAAACTGAAGAATCATGAAAAAGACTAATATATCCTGGGACATTTTTGAAGCAAAGATATGTTATTAAAGAAAAAAATTGAAAATGGTTGTCAAGATGTAGCTTATTATTGGATTTGGGGAACCAAAAAAATCAAAAATTTAAGATTTTTGGAAATGTAGGCATCAGAACAAAGGTAGGGCAGGTGTTTAAGGGACTGCAGGGCATTCTATGTGTTTTGGGATGTGCAGTTACAGGAATGAGGATGCAGCAATGTAGTAGAGTAGTAGTAGCCTGTGTAATAGCATTATCTATGAATGTTTCCTATGCCCAGACTCTGCCCTAAGAGCTTTGCAAGCATCAACCATTCTATGATGTAGGCAGTATTATGGCCATTTTACAGATGAGGAAACTGTGGACAAGAGATTTCGTACTTTATCCTAAGTTACATAGAGCTATTCCAGAGCAAGAGTCCACCCATTCTTTCCCTCGACGGGATAACCTATTAATTTATTAATAGAATTGTGATAGAAATTGGAGAGGGAGGGAGATTATGAAAAATTAAATGGGTAGGTAGGTGCGAAAGAACGTTAGTTGTAGTAAAAAAAAAGATGCATATAGGCCAGGCATGGTAGTGTCTACCCTACAGTTGCAACTGAGAGGATGAGTCAGGAGGATCCGGATCCTAGGGTACTTTGTCTTAAACAAAAAAGAGAAAGAAAAAAAAGGGGAAAAGAGACATAGAAAAACGCTGATTGAGGAGTAATTTGCATAAACTGATTTCAATTTGGCAGTTTATCTACTTCTTCCCTCTTCCTCCAGTCACTTTGCATTTGTGCAGCAGTTTTCCGAGGGTATCTCGCTCACAACAGCAAAGGACTCTTGCCTCTTAATAGCACACAAGATAAAAAGGGTGTGTGTGGGAGAATCAGGCTTGAAAAAGAACCACTGATAGGGAACCAGCAGTTGGCGTAATGGCTATGTCGCTGGACTCCCACGTAGTCGACCGCGGTTCGTGTCCCGACCCGGTGGCTTAAAACTCACGCCGGGCGCATGTGCGTGCGTGCCCAAGATCCCGGGAGGAGAAGGGATTTCGGTGTGGCCATCCCTCCTGGGGGGTGATTTCTCGCTTTCTGTCTCTATGTCTCTCTCTGTCTGTCTGGCGAGCGCAGGCGCCCTACAGTGAAAATCTCTCCAAAAAAAAAAAAAAAAGAACCACTGATAGAACACCCCAGTTTGGGAGAATGACCAGCAGACTGCATGCTCCTCACAGGCAGGCACAAGGTGCAGTGCTACTTTTTAACTTCCAAATACATGAAATTTAAACATTACTCGGAGGAGGCTAAGTCCTGATAATTACGTTTCGCATCACTCGCGTGATGGCAGGATTGCGATCTATTCTAACCACACCAAATCACCCTGAGTCAGAGGAGTCTTCATCATTTGCAATCTAAATACTGCTTCCTTCTTGGTCCCACCTGGCAGGAAGGCTCTGTGGGTGGAACAGAAAGAGGCCTGGTTGTGGGGAAGACAATCTGCATCCGTGAAAAACAGGGCAATCTGGCACTACACCAACCTCTCTGCCACGAAAAAGCTCGCAAAGCTTTCAACTGTCTCAAGGAACAGCTAACCCGAACCGTCTACAGCCGGTAGCACCGCCCCCCGGCATTCATTGGGTCCCAACCCCGACGTCAGACTCTTAGTCTTCCGCCTATTGGACTAGTCAAGACCAGGGGCGCGGTGCGGAAGTAAGGGCCTGGAGACAGCCCAGAGCCGCCTTCCAGCAGGGCGAAAGGGGCGGGGTCTGGGCGGGGCCGGAGGAGGGGCCGAGGGAGGGATTTTAGAAGAAGGGGCGGCCATGGCAGCTGCGCGGCGGCAACGGCGGCTGCGAGGGAGCGCGCGCCCGGCTTTGAATGAGCGGGAGGCAGGTGAGTGTGTGCGGCTTGCGCGCGCGGGAGAGGGGCTTCCTCTCTCTACCCCACCGCGATCCCAGCCCCAGCCTTAGGGACGTCCTCTGCCCTCCCCGACTAGCCTTCCTCCTCGCCCCGCACTTCCTGCCCTCCACCTTCCTTTTCGCCCCTCTACCTGGCCTTCCCCCAACATCCGATTGCTACTCTGGGGTACTGTTTCCGGGTCAGGGTGACCTCTGGGGTGAGGAAATCGCGCCTGGGAGCGGGGCCGGGGCGTGCAGTCTAAGCCATGCCGCGCTCACGCGTGGGAGACCGGCCTAAGGAGTACCGGCTGGGAAATCCAGGCTCCAAGTCTTCCTCCCGCAGGGAAATTTCCCTGTCCTACTGCGCTCCCCCCACGGGCCTCGCACCTCTGAAGTCAGATTTCCCCCAAAATTCAGTTCCCTTCCCACCTGGCGTCCACGTCCAGCAACTTAAAGCAGAGCGTTTCTCGTAACGCCGTGCGCACGGCGTCGGGTCGCGGAACCTCAAAACGCTTGTGTTGTTTTCATCTGTGCAGTGGGTATGATTTTTTTTTCCAAAGTGATTTTAGGTGGGTAATTTGCAATTAAACCATTTTAGTTATGAAATTTGATTCCTTTTGGGTAGTTCAGGAGACCTTGCTTTTTACCTTTGTAACCTAGAGTGTCACATATTTGAGGGCCTAAGTTTGAATTGCCAGACACGAAGTCAATACAGGACGTTTGATTTTACAACTGGCTCTCACACTCCCATCTGTTTCCCCTTCTTCCTTGGCACCACCGACTCCTGTTTTTAAAATTTAAGTGAGTTCAGTTAAATTTTACTTTATAACTTTGTGGTATTCTGCAGTCTACTTCTGAGTTACAAACCGAATTTGGGGATATTCTGTCCAGTACTGAGCAATATTTTTTCAAGTGTTGGTATGAAAAAATTCAGAAATAGTTTGAGAAATGTAGCCCTGATGGTTTATTTATTATAGTATGTACGTACTAACAGACTTTGTCTTGGCTTGTGTAGTGAATTGTGAGTGAGTCTACTGAAAACATTCTTGAGTGTTTTACCTGGAATTAGAGAAGGAAAGGTGCATTTTATCTGTCAGTTTCTTAATGCAGCATTCTTTCTTTTAAATTGTAGGAAAATATTTCTCGGTTGACATAGTAGAGCTCTCATTTGAATTGATTTCAGAGAGGTTATTTTTGCAAACTCCTTGAGAATATGTCATTTTTCCAAAATACCTGAGAACAGCACTTTTTCATATTTTTGACCCTTGTTCTGCTATATCTCAAATTTTATACTTTCCTAGTAATTTTAAAGGACATTTTATTTAACTTTTATTTATTAATTTTTAAAATTTGACTAGAGAGAGACAGTGAGAGAGAGAGAGAGAAGAAAGTGAGAAAGGAAGTCACCAGGTCCAGAACTTGAACTACGTCCACCATGTGGGAGTCCAGTGTCCATAACCACCACACCACCAAAAGGACATTTTTTTAAACGCTCAGTTCTAGAAAGTATTTCCAAGCAACCAATGTGGCTTAAGATACGTACTTATTAAGTTGATCTGTATAAGGCACTTGAAAATCACAGTGAGGCCACATATTTAAAAATTAAAAGATTTCTCTGGTGGAATATAAATGTAGAGAGAATCTGGACATTGGCATCAGTCTCTTTGGGTGAATGTATCTGAGTCTTGCTATCAACTTCATCTGTTAAATGGGAACAGTGAAGTCTACCTCTTTAGGTTGTTTTTAGTATTCTAATGAGGTAATAGAGTATGCTTCCTCTAGAACTATGTTCTACTAATGTTAAGGTTCAAGAAATGTTCATTTCCTTTCATTCAGCAAATATTTGAGTACCTACTATGTGCTTGGCATTGGCTAAGATTTAGAAATACCAAACTGAGCAAGACTAATGAGGATCCTGCCTCCTTAGTCTTTTGCATTCCTTCCACAGGAGTAAGTGTATGTAAAGACCATGATAACTGAGTGGTGAACACAGGGTTTCTCACACAGAAGGTCCTGACCAACTGTGGTTAAACCTTCCTACAGTAAGCCTTCCTACAAGTTTATTTGGAGGTAACATCACTGGAAGTGAAGGACCTCCTTACACTTTAGGATAGTTTCAGCTTTACTGGGTGTGTATTACTTTGTAAAGTCAAAAAATGAAAGTTGGCACCATCTGGTGTGTTGCTAACATTAAATGTGTTTTCAATATAAGCATTTTCCATTTGCAATGAGTTTATCTGGACGTAAGGAACACCTATACTGGATTGGTAGTGTTTCCTAGCATTCGGGGTACTATTTCTTCATAGTAGGTGTTAACATGAATTCATTTGATTGAATCGAAACATTTTAAATACTAATCTCAATTTGTATATTTCTGCCTGCAAATCAGTGTAATTAATGAAATCTAAAATGTAACTTTGTGTCTTGATTGCATTTCTTTTCCATTTCAGTGCAACTAGTTGGAAAACCTACCTTGAAAATTACAATATCATTTCTGAATTACTACAAATACCCGTTGTTAATGAGATATTCTTGGTTTTTTAATTAAGTAGATCTAAGTTTGAATCAAGTCATTTGGTATAGGAATATGAGAACTTACGCTCATTCTCTTTTAATTCTATGTAATGAGGGCAGTAGTATTTATCTCTTAAAATGTCTTTATGGGTTAAGTGAACTGATACTTAGGTAGTACTTGGTACATAGTAGATGGTCAGTGCTTGTTAATTCTCCTCTTTCGTTATTATAAGAAAGCAAACTTTCCACAGGGTGAGAATATTCTTAATTGCTAAGGAGAGAATTCTAATCTGTAATCAATAATAGTTGCACTTTCTGTTTTTCAGTTGGAAAAACTTAAATTTTATTTCCAGTTGCTGTTTTAGTCATTTAAGTTGATAAATACTATTGAACAGTGACACCAACAAAATCTGTGGGCAGGTGATGGCTGTGGTTACCAAGGCTTTATATGAAATTTTTTTTTTTTTTTGGAGAGGTTTTTGCTATAGGGTGCGTGCGCTCGCCAGACAGAGAGAGACAGAGAGATAGAAAGCGAGAAATCACCCCCTGGGGGGATGGCCACGCTGCAATCCCTTCTCCACCATTCTCCTCTCGGGATCTTGGGCACGCATGCACACACGCACACGCACCCGGCCTGAGTTTAAGCCACTGGGTCCAGGATTCGAATCACGGTCGACTATGTGGGAGTCCAGCGACATAGCCATTACGCTAACTGCTGGTCCCTGAAATTTAATCTCAGCTCTTCATATATATCCCGAGACCAACCCTTTATTCAGTTGTCAATGTTAAATGTCGTCTTCTTCTAATAAACCATCTCCTTGGTTCTGTTGCCTTTTCCTCCAAATGCCACATGCTCTACAGGTTCTCTCTCTCTCTAGCATTTTTTAAAATAATTTTTCTAAAAATTTATGCTAAATTTTTATTTGGGAAAATTTGATTTTCTTTTGGTTGAGAGTTTTATTACTGACAAATCGGCTTTAACTGAAACTCTTATTTGTTCAGATCATTGTACTCAATGAACTAATAATCAGGCTTCTTTAAAGTCTTAAATTGGAAGTGGTAAATAAAGGTACCAGATGAGTTCTCTGAAGGAAGACTGTGCAGACTAGATGTGGTACATAGAATAACTATAGCACAAAATAGAGTTAAGCATCTGCCTAAGAAAAATACTGGAATTAAAACTTTACAGTTGCCTGGCAAGTGGCTTATGTTAGGGAGATTGTGGTGGGAATAGGAAAAATAGGCACCATTAGGAAATTGAATGAAGTCTTTCTGTCAGTTTGAATGTAAGGAGATTAAAAAAGAAAGACATTAACTTGGTTGCACTTTTCAAACCTGAGTAAACCACTGATTAAGGATGTTTTTGAGAGAAGTGTCTGATGTTAATTGAACAGTGAAATTCTTAATAATGTCCTGGTTCACTTTCTTTTAGAGTCACTGTTCTTTCCATTCTCTTGATTAGTAAGCCACCTCTAAAGATAGACATTCAGTAGATCATTCAGCTCATATGGCGAGACAAGGTCCATATGCATATTACTAAGGGAAACTACTGGAATTCTGTCACTGTACCTTTGTAGTCTGCAAGCCCTTTCTTTTTTAGTTTTTTTTTTTTTTTTTTTTTACTATAGGGCACGTGCGCTCGCCAGAGAGACAGAGACAGACAGAGAGACAGAAAACCAGAAATCACCCCCAGGGGGGATGGCCATGCTACCATCCCTTCTCCTCCATTCTCCTCTTGGGATCTTGGGCACTGACATACACATGTCCCCAGCGTGTTTAAGCCTCTGGATCCGGGACTCAAACCACGGTTGACTACATGGGAGTCTAGGGACATAGTCATTACGCTAACTGCTGGTCCCTGCAAGCTCTTTCTAACCCTAGAAATAAATTTAGCTGTGTACTTTACATTTCTTTAGAGGTAACTGGTAATACTGGCTTTACAGAGCAATCAGGATCAGATACCCTTAGAGTTAAGTAGCTTTCCTTGGTTTTGTTTTATTTTTACTTTTATGTGTTTGTTAGAACTTTTACATTGAGATATAGTATACAAACAGTCTATATTGGGTTGTCGGGAAAGTCATGACGCATGTTTGCATAGAAAAGTATGTCATGACTTTCCTGATGACTTAATAGTAAAGTATATGGTATTGCTACGATTCTAATTAAGACGTAGATTTTGGGAGCAGCAGATGGCTTAATGGTTACATCTCTGGAGTCCTACATGACTAACCACAGTCGCGGTTCGAGTCCCAGACTCATGCTGGGTGCATGTGCATGCCTAAAATCCTTAGGTAAGAATGAAGGAGAAGGGATTACATAATGGCCATCCCACCTGGGGATAATTTCTTACTTTCTATTTCTTTATCTCTTGGACGAATGGATGTGCCCAATAGCAAAAGTCTAACTTAAAAAAAAAGATGTAGATCTTAGGTGCAAGTGGTGTGGTGGTTATGGTGCTGGACTCTCACATGCTAACTGCAGTTTGAGTCCCGGACCCGGTGGCTTGAAAATCAACCCAGTAATGTCTTTTTGTATAGATCCCATAATCCTGAGAGGAGAAGGGATTGCGGCATAGCCATCTCCTCTGGAGAATGATTTCTAACTTTCCCACTCTATGTCTCTCTCAGGCTAGTGCATGCGTGCTATGGCAGTTCACTTATGTTTTTATATCTCCCATCAGAGATGATTACAATTTTTTAGTACATAATTTTAAATTTTTCTACATTTTTTAGGAGAGATTTTTGCTATAGGGTTCATGCACATGCTGGAGAGATAGAGACAGAAAGTGAAAAATAACACCTCCCCTCCCACCCAGGGAGGGATGACCACACACCACAGTCCCTTCTCTGTTCTCCTCAGGATCTTGGGCACACACACACATGCACCTGGCATGAATTTTTTAAGTGGCTGAGTCGAGGACTCGAACTGTGGTCGACTACATGGCAGTCCAGCTATGTAACCATTATGCCATCTACTGGTCCCTTACTATATAATGTTTAGCCTGAGTACTCAGTTTAATATTTCATCAGTTTAGAAAACTGCATTGTGTGCTATTTTCCAAACTTTAGGAGGTTATTGCTTATATCATATAATTAAAAATAAAATAGCTTGCTCTCTGCTTTATATGAAATGAGTTTTTAAATAGAATGTTATTAATACATGGATAGTGTATTTATCTTGGACATTTTAAATCCTTATATTTATAAGTGTTATTACTTATATAAGGAACATGTAAAAACTAATTGGCATTTAAGTTTTGATAAGGAGTACATAGCTATCCATTTAAT